TCTTCACATGTCTCCACAGGCCATTTGGTAGCACCTCCAAACACATCGACGTTGTTATCAACCCAGGGTATGATGTTGCCAGGCATGTTGGTAGAGCAGTTAGCAATATTCACGATGTCTTCAGCTTTTAAGACCCTGTCCCATATATTGAACTGGCTCATCTCCCCAACGAAGGCTTGAGTTGCATCAAATCTTCCTCCTACCGTGTCCTTTAGGCACACAAGAGTTAGGATTAGATGAGAAGGTTATTTCAGCACTTTCTTCTTCAAACATTAAGACCCTCCCCCCCAGCCACACTGCTAGAAGGAGCTGCAGAGCTAAGTCACAGAGACAAACAACTCCAAGTTTCTAGAAGGGCTACTTTGATGTTCTATGGAACAGTTAAAAGCTCCAACCTGAAATGTGTCAAAACAATTCAAGGCAAACAGTAGGGTCTGTCTACCATCACGCAAAGGCTATACATCACTAACCCAGCGCCCGAGCAGTTGAGCAGGAAGGCAGCGTTAAATATTGAGGCTAATTTAGAAGCCATTTTGCAAGCTTGGCAGAGGACAACTTCAGCAAGAACTGCACAGATGTGTAAGATAACTCCAAAAGCTTTATGGCTATAGATTAAACTGTAACTGCAGCCTTTGAATCGCCTGCAGGGCCTGTAAGATGCAATCTTCGGATACACAGCCTTCTTCTGGTTGTACCAAATGACTAACCCTAACTGCTAAGCCTAGAAGTGTTTGCTTGCTCCATCTACTACTCAAGGACAGAAATCACACATTTTGTGCGATCACACTAACATGAAACTGATAGCATAGGATGGAACCAAGCATAGCACAGGCAAATGGCATGAGAGTTACAGAAAAGCTGCCAGCCACTTAACAGTGAGCTGGAGCATCTGCTATGCAGAATGCATTAGGATTCTGAATTTACCATTCTGTCATTTATGTCATGGATACGTATCTATTAAAACCAGTATCAGGACAAAACTAATTTTTCATTGCCCCATTGTGAACCTGGGAATCCTGGAGAAAGGCTATTTCCTGCTACTTAGTACAATTTTTTTTTTAGTGTATCTATAATCATACAAAGAACAGGTAGAGAAAAATGTGAAGAGCCACAACAACTCATAGGCAATAGCTTAATGAGATGTTAACTAGAAGAGTGAGATTCAAAATCCTTTGGGGTTTTTCTTCCATATTCAAAAAGGACTTATCCTTAACCTCATGAATGCTTTCTGTTGGCAGTACTAATATTCAAACTTTATTAGTGGTTGCATTAGGAGAGTTATTTACCTACATCTTTAATGAGAAACCAAATGTCTGACTTGGAGTTTGCCTCTTTGACTTCAGACTCATCTTTAAAGTAGACATCAAATTCTGAATGAGTGACAGACTCCACTATTCTAAAAATGTGTTACAGACCTGAAAAGCTGCAGAATTCAGTCTGCAGGGGAGTTCTCTGTAGCAGGCCAAATTATAAAAGATCCTGATATACCCACAAGCACTCCAGCACCCATAGCTGTTGGTCCTCTCACCCCCATACACATACTTTCCTTGGTCTATTCTAGGGCCTGAGGACTCATGTTCTTACTGCTCTTGGGATAAAGAGGAAAGGAAGGGGGAAAAGCAGTAAACTGCTAACAGGGATAGTCCATTTGGCTTCAATTTAAAAAAGTACAACAAATCAAAGCAATTATACTTGTTCCACTTTCAGCAGGCTCCTTTTTGACTGCTCATACAACAGCACTGGCCAGTTCTGCCCTTTTCTGTAACTTCAGCGGCTATATTGCTAGTTACCAGCAATCTAGCTCAAAGAATTTAATTTAAGGCATTATTCAGATCACTGACAAAGTCACACACTGTAGTATTAAGAGTGGGAATAGGAATAGCTGCAACATGAATATTCTGAATATTTCATAAATGAAACAAAATATACCAATGTGTGATTGCATTAAGTATTTGTTGCTTTGTTTTAATCTTTCTGATACTGTGTGTAAAACAGGACCAAGTGTTTAACAAAGAAGTTTTCTTACAGATGTTGTTTGTTTGGGGAGATTTTTTTTTTTTTTAAAACCCTGGAACGTACTGTCATTCACTCACCTGTTCCTGACCCAGGATCAAGACACCTCCAGGTTTAATTGGGTGCCAAGGAGCAAGATTCTCCCCAGTGCCAAGCTTCTCTCCATCCTGAAAAGCCTCCCACATTCCATCTCTGGTTGTCCATGTTATACAGATATGATGCCATTTTCCATCACTAATGAAGAGAGGGAGCTGGGCAACCTACAACAACCAAAGAGTAATACATGTTGCAAACCAAGCCTACAAGTTCAGGCACAACATTTAAAAAGGGACAGTACATCTGGCCTCAGAAGTGAAAGACTTCAGAGGCAGAAGTTAGTCCACATCTTTCTACTTTGTCCCAGCTCTCCAGAATTCAGGAATACAGGCATGCTTTTTATTCTAGATGTGAGCCTTTGTTTCATCTAGAATCAAGTGACACAAGTACCAGAGTCTAAGCTGCCATCAATCCACTGATCCTGCATCTGTGGCATTTATTGTTTAAATCTCAGTGCTTAGTCCTAACTTTCCATCCAGAGCTCATGTTAAATTTCTCTTAAAATCTGGGGTTTGCCTGCACCATTTGCAGTAACAACTCTGACAAATGATCTGCCTGCTTCCAGTAAAACTTGTGGGAACTGCTACGTAGAGCTCCAAATAAGGAGCAATTATGCTCCTTTAGGAATTTGATCTGAAAACTTACTCAAGTCAACATAAAGACACAAATGCAGCAGGCTATGGAACAGCTGTGATGTGGGAGACAGAAAAGCCTCACGGAACATTAGTAGTACCGACATAATATTGAAGCCAAAGTTATTGCTAAGGATAAGCAGACTCAAGTTTCCTTCTCTTCCACAAACCATTAAAAATAATTGGCTTTTCCCTTTTATTTATTTGGGAAGATGATAGGACTGTTAAAAGTCCTAGCCACATGACTGAACCACCCGAGTTGTGTTGTAGAGCTGTAAACACCTGATCCCTCAGAGAGCAGTGAGTTACTAGGAAACCTAACAGGCCAAAGAAAACAAGGGACGGTGCCTGAAGGCATGCTATGCTACATCGCAGCCTGGCCAAGTTAAGAATCTAGTTTTGCTCACACCGATTCAAATCAAGTCACTTAGCCACCATCAGCTATTTACATTTCATAGCTAGCCCAAACTGAAGGTGGGGAGAAAGGAAGTATTTATAATCTGGTTTAATGCCAAGTTTTAATGGGTCTTGTTTTCCTCAAGCCTCATTCTGAAGCTTGTCAGAAACCACCAGCGATATGAAGTAGTGCACGGCAATTGTTGCTTTTTGTATCTAAAGTCTGAAAAAGTTGTATTTAAACTGATGTTCAGTCACTTAAACATAAACAAAACCAACCAGAATTACATGCTTTTTGCTCTCTGTCTTCTGCCAAATTCATTTGAACATATCTGCACTTCTAGATTAGAAAGACAGAAATACTGCAACTGGTTTAGATCTCACAGGCTTTGCAACAGTGTGACTTCAAATATTGCTTTTGTTTCATAAAACAAACAAGAAGCCAAGATCTGCTTGTACATTCAGAGGACAAGCATAAGTGTGTGCACATGTAGATGTCATGCTGCTTTGTCTCAACATGCAAATATAGGTACCATTTGACTTTTTTTGAGTACTTTTATGAACTTGCAACAGACAGATGGACAACAACAGACAAGTAGACACTACCACCTCAAAAGCCCAGAGCTGGCTTCTCTCAGCGAGAATGAGTTACTAGAGAGGTACCAAGGGTTCGGGCCTTATTCTGATCACGTAGACAATAAAGAAGAGTTAGTCAATTCTCACCTTATCATTAATTAGAAGTTCAATTGGATTATTCCCCCATTCTATGAGGACAATTTCATTAGCCTGCCCAGGAACAGCATATGAGAATGGAGTGCCAATTCCAGGAGAGGCACTCGATCTCAACCACAAGCATACAGTAAAAGCATACAGCTCTGGCAGAGTCTTCTTGATCTTGCCATATAAGTAGTTTGTGCGAAGAGGAAGGGAGACTTTGAATTCATCAGGCGACTTAAATGCACTGTTACCTAGAATTACATTGAGGAAGAAAAACCTTTAACATTAAACAAAACAATGTATTTGTAATTCAGGTTAAGAAACAATATAATTGATATTGGGAATCTTTGGAATTTTAATCACTTTAGAGAGGTACATAAAAAATATATTGAAGTAGTATTACTGAATATTGATTTTGCAGCACAAAAATACAACTAGATTTTATACATATCATGCTAATTTCTTAGCTTATTTTTCCTGTTCACTTAGAGCAAAAGAATATATGGCAGACAACTAATGAGAGGCTGTTAAATATTTCCTTTCTTCATTGCTTACTTCATGGCCTGCCTATTTCAAACAATTCAAACTGTTTTAAAAGATATTTACTGTACTAAACATGGATTCTGTGGTATGTTCCTGATTAAAGCATGACAGTGCTTCAAAAACCAGTATTTCTTTTCCTACTACTGCTACAGAGGGAGCTAGCAGCAGCATCCCCATTTTACAGATAGCAGGCTGAGAAACGGGTTGATGCTCTCATTTTGGGTGGCCAGCCTGAAATAAGAAAAAGCTGACATATTCAGGAAAACAGAGTTAAAATTGGTAGAACTGATTTCTGTCCCATAGACAAATCGGGAGGAGAGCTGAACAAAAATATAAAGCTGAACTTCAAAGTGACCTGAAAAAAAATGCAATATAAAGTTATGAACTACAAAAACATTAGACACTTGTTTTAATATAAAAGCAGAAATTATTTAGCTTTTTCTAAAAGATGAGATAAAAACAGCGAGATATTCCAGAGATGTTTATGAAATTGAGAACTCAAGACCAAAATTTTCTAAAGTTGCAATACTCTGTATTATATAGTTTGTGTATACTTCTGCTGTAGTTGCTTACAAGTAGTTTTCTAGACTTAAATATTAAGAAGAGAGAAATCCCACGTTGTGCCACAAATTAAAACCCCACAGTTCTGTAGTAGAATGTCACCCTCAACTTTATAGCACCCTGTTCTTCTGAGTCCCACTCATTTCCCTTAGTCACATTGCTGAAACATATTTAATCCCCTCGCCAAACTTTGCACTCCAATCTAAATGAAGAACTGTTGTCACAAAAGGTTGCCACAATTTTCATATGTAATTTTTAAGCCGTTGGCATTCTCTCAGTTCCCATTCTCAGAAGCAACTTAAGTGTTTTGACTGCATTTTTCACAGAACGAGGGGGTGGAAGAAGAAGTTTGTCTGATGCTTGCATCTGTCTTGAGGAACTTACAGAGCAAAACCTGAAATATTCTAAGTTTTAAGCAAAAAAAAAAAAAAACAAAAAAAACCAAAAAAAACCCCAAAAAACCTACAACACACACAAAACCCAGGGTCTTAGGGATAATATTGAGCAACCTCTACTAGGCTGGTACAACCAATCTCACATACAAAAAAAGAAACATATACTCCATTAAGAGCATTAATCACTCTGAAAGAGCTTAACGAAGCAATAATGGGTTGGAAAAGAACAAACAATAATGATTTTTTTTTTTTGTTTGTTCTCATGACTTGAAAGCATCCACCACTCCAAATAGTAACAAGATCCTCCTATTCTAGGCAATGGGCACATGCACAGGATAAGACAATCCTTTTCCTAAAGGATCTGAATTATTTTTGGCCAACATGGGCAAGAAATATTGTTATTCCCTTTTAGAGATGGAGAAAATAGATTTAGATATAGCAAGTGACCTGTTCATGTCTCCAGCAAAGCTAGGAATCACACTTAAGTCCAGGCACTATTAGTTGCAGGATTATTCCTCCACCCAGTCCTGCTTTTTAATGCATCATCTACTGCTGTCAATGGAGACAACCGGTGAAAGAATTACCAAGACTTTGGGAATCACAACAGTTGCACAAACTTCAAACTCTTCTGCCCCACTGGTAAGTAAAGACAGCTGTCACAACAGATAAAAATTCCAAAGTTCATCGTGTCACCTCATAAGGTTAGTTTTTCCTCCATTATTTAGTCTCAGGACAATGAGGAGCTTATGACACTCTAGTTAGTTGTCAGGAAGAGATGCTAAACAATATGGCATTTAAAATAAAAGCACAACAGAAATACTATTTTCAAAAGAGGTCAAATCACTTCAAATACTGTCTGCATTAAAATCATTAAGTTCTTAGATCATTATTACTCTCACTTTGATTTGACAGAGGAACCAAAGGCACAGAACAGCTGAGCTGCACTGTAATAGAGAGTAAATTACACAACTAAAAGAAAGCCTGTGTCGTGGCTCCTGGCCCAAATTCTTCACTTCCTTGGAGACTTATAAGACAGCCCTCTCTCCCCGCACAAGAAATAAAGGTGGAAGCAGGCTATTTTTAACCTAATTGAATTACACATTCTTGTTCTCCCACTACTCCCTTTCTCTTTCTGATGACTTGCTGATATGAGTCACATCTTCCAGAGACAAGGACTAGCAACACTTGCCACATAAGACATTAACAAGCTAATTCTCCAGAACTTTAGTTGCAGTTTAGGCTTCATCTTAGCTCTCAGGAAATACTAAATGACAGAGGCAGTAGAAGATCTCTTCTTCCTCCTTCCCTTTTCCCCTCCTTACACTTTTTAAATTAAAAAAAAAAATACAATATTACACAAATGGATCCATCAGGCTGCATTTTAAAATTCATGAGCTATGTTTGCACCATTTTGAAAGCATGTCCATTAAGCCGCTTTTAAGCGGAGAACCTATTCACCTTGGCAAATCATTTAAAGATCGGGCAGTGATATTTACTGGTACTCTAGTCCTACACAGTCCACTCTGTAGGTGTGTGTAGTTGATACAGATAGTTCTGTTCTTTAGCTCATTTCCATGGACATTTGTAACTCAAATAAACAGACTCTACTCAGAGATCTCAGTAATAATTAATCTAAGTATCTGAATAAATGACTAGGATTAAGAGAGTGTCCCCCAGTGGCACCATGCGTAATGTACTGTAAACTCTGAATCCCTATATGCTTGGGATAGGACACAATTCAAAGTATCTGCAGTTACCCAAAGGCGTAACCAGCAACAAAAGGAAAGACCACCAGCAATGCTTCTAAAGCAGCAGGAAATGGTTCTGGTGTAAAATGCCATTCATTACATCAAAGGCAGCTGTGCTAATTAAATTTGGCCCATATGATTTTCAGTCCAAATAAAGAAAGGCAGCTCTACTTAGATGCGTACTTGACATTTTCTAGGTATTTACCTGACACAAATGTCATACTTCCTCCTATTTCCACTTGCCTCCTTATGTATCTTTCCATCCCACAAACAGTAAGTTTCATCCTAACCACCCACATATGCCAAATTAAGAGACAGAAAGCCAAAGCCATGCTGAGGCCTGTCAGGCAGGAAGCCTGTGACAAAAGGAAAAAGGGAATCCAAGTATTTGCACTGTCACCTGCTATTTAGTCCAGCACATTAACTGCCTTTCCCTCGAGGCCCACATTTAGACTACTGCACTAGAAGGACGGAGTAAAGAAAATTAATGAGCACATTGGAAGCGGTTTGATTCTGTGCACATTACCTTTTTCTAATTCAGACACTCTTTCTAGCAATGCATTCAAGGCTGTCTCTGTCCTCTGCCGATGGGCTGACGTCTCATTATGAAGCAAAGACTTCTCATCCTCAAGCTCGGCCACTTTGCTCAGGAGTTGGCGTTCCAGGTCTCCGAGCCTCCGCTGAAGCATCTCTCGAAGGTCATTAGGCAGTGCTGCGTACGACACGTTGGCTCGGAGTTGGTGCTTTAGGGGAAATGGGAAGAAAAAACTTGTCATTTCTAAAACAGAAACTGTGAAATGCAGATATACTCCTGATTCAAAGGGAAGAAAGCAAGATCACTGAGTTCTCCAGCAAGTACAAAAGAGGCACTGCTTTCTAGCACTTGTCATGCTCAGTGCTTTTATCAGCACTGTAGCAAAACAGGTCCTGAAACAAAAGGGCACTTTTGTTAGAGGCTTCCAGAGTTTCATATGAAGGAGCCTTCATACATTTAAGTTCAATAAAATCAATGTAGGAAGGCAGGTCTGATACGCTTCCATTAGTACGGGTACATGTGGCACATTAGTCAATTTTTGCTTTACTTGCTGCAAGTGACATTGCCAACTTAAGTAAACAGAAAAACTATTACTTCTTTTTAAATAAAAAGTTAAGCTACTTCAAAAGCAAATTTACCAAATGAAAGGTTCCTCAGTTTTGGTTTGCAGAGTAAAGAAGTCAGATGCTCTTTAGGTCAACTGTAAGTATTAGCCAGTGAAAGTATTCTTATTTAAACTGCAAAAAAAAACCCCACATTCTCTCAAGTAACACTGGTATCTTTAAGGATACTAAGAAACCAACGGTTCCACCTACCGCATTATTCTAGTGGAGTTTCCCTTCTAGAACCCTGAAAAAAATGCCTCAAAAAGACAGCAACAGTAATAAAAGGGCATTACACTACCAGATCATTCAAAACTGTACTTGAAAAGCAGTCCAGAGCGTTTAGACCTCACAGAATAACCTTTAGAAAGTTACTCGCCATCCTCACAACATCACTGACTGTTTGGAGGACAGCAGGAGGACATGCATATAGCTCTCCGGGTGTGGAAAGCAAAATGCAACATCCAGCACGATTCCTGTGGGAATACTCTCTACAATCTATTTCCATGCGTGCCACTCAACCACGGGCACTGTCCAAAGGCTCGTGGAAATCACTTATCGGTGGACTTGGACCAAATCCCCTTTCTACTCACAGGCATACAGAATTAGGCTCTTTTTATTCTATGTCAGCTCTAAATACATCATCTTCTCTTCGCAATCTGCCCAACACAGTCTCCTCGTTACCGCTGGTCCGTTCAGCGCCATACGCCAAGGTCTTACTGCCCAAGGCGTCAGCTTTATACCTCAAACCCCATGAAGCCACATTCCAGAAAGGGAGATTTAGAGACATTAATACAGAAACTAAGCTGGCGACACGCAGGAAGACCGTAATCTCCCCCCATGCAGCGGGAGAGCACGTTCACAGAGGAGCCCTTCGCGTTTTTTACCATTCAGGCGAGCAGATAAATAATCAAGAAAACAAGGCAAGCCGCTCACTCCCAGGGCTCGGCCGCTTTGGCTTTATCTCCGCACAGATTAAGCGCGCTGGCCGTGTGCGCGCAGCGGTCCAAAGCCAGGGCTACCCGCCAGCTCGCTCCAAGT